ACACACACACACACACACACAGTACACAGACACGATTGTTACTACACACACACACACACACACACACACACACACACACACACACACGAGTCCCTGACCACCAGAACTAACCAGCTAAATAGACAGGACAAAGGGTGACAGAAAGCAAATATCATCCCCAATTTATAGATGATAACTGAGGCACAAAGAGACTAAGGGCCAGATTTTTAAAGGTATTTAAAAATACCTGTGCTCAGCATTGCAATCTCTAACTGATTTAGGAGCCTAAATCTCTTTTTCAAAAGGGATGAAGGCACTTGGGGGGCAAAATCCCATTGACACAGATGGTAGTTAGATTCCTTAGTGCCTAAATCCCTTTTGAAAATGAGATTTAGGCTCCTAAATCAGATGTTGCAACACTGCGTGCAGCAACGCCTAAACACATTTAAAAACCTGGACCTAAAGGGCTCGTTCAGGGTCACACAGCGAGTGTGCAGTGGGGTCAGGACTGAACCCCCATCTCCTGAGTGTCAGTGCAGTGCCTGAACTGCAGACCAGTCTTTCTCTCTGACAGGAGAGGGACGTCCAGGGGAACTTGCTTAAACAAGGATTTAAGGATAAGGCCAAGGGCTTTGACCCCTTCAATGGAGGCCAGTGGGCACAATGGGATGGACTGAAACAATCTTGGACTCTGGTTGTGCTTGGCTAGATACTGAGTTTCAGTGTAAGTCCACTCCACTCTGCTCTCTCCCTGACCTACAGAAACAATCATCCCTAAGACGCCAGTAGCCTTTTCTGGGGGATCCAGCTTGCCACTGTTTCCCCTTGCATAGGTGCCAACTTTCCCTGGCGCCGGTGGGTGCTCGCGCCCCCCACCCTTGGCCCCGCCCCGACTCCACCCTTTCCCCGCCCCATTCCAACCCTTTTCCCAAATCCCCGGCCCCCACCTCCTCCCCTGAGCGTGCCGCATCCCCCCTTCTCCCCCCCTCCCTCCCAGCACTTGCCGCGCAAAACAGCTGTTTTGCGGCACAAGCGCTGGGAGCTAGGGCGAAAAAGCGGGCACGCAGTGCGCTCAGGGGAGGAGACGGAGGCAGAGGTGAGCTGGGGCGGGGCAGGGAGCTGCCGGTGGGCGCAGAGCACCCACCAATTTTTCCCCAGTGGTGCTCCAGCACTGGAGCACCCACGAAGTCGGCGTCTATGTCCCCTTGTCTCTCAGTTGCACTGCCTTCACTTTGCAACACTCTAAAGAAGGAAATTGCTCATTACCACAAGGTGCTGCTGCTTTCCCTTTGCAGGCTTATCAGCCGACACGCTCTGGATTCCCTTGACGTGCGTGGCTGGCCTCGCTATGAGACAAGGAGCTGCGGTGTAATAGCACTGTCTCCATCTCGTTGTCAAGGAACTGGCACTTTACTGTTGCTGTGACCATGACTACGGCTAGGTATTAGCCTGTAATAAAACAAAAAACTCCACGTCCTGCATGTCTTTGGAGACCCTGATCTCATAGCTTTCCAGGAAATGACAAGGATTTGGCACTCAAGCTTCTTCTCAAAGAATTTGTAATAATTGCTCTGGGAGATTGTATTTAGTTTCTAGCAAATTACATTCCAGCTTATTCATTCCCAGTGACCTTGTACTCGGCGAAGTTCAAGTCTAATTTGTAGTGTTGGATGCGGCTGCCACTCAAGGCACAGGCTGTGTGTCTTCTGCAGGGACTGGGGAATTTACTGTATTGCAGAAAATTGGAGGGCCCTGCAAATGCTGGGATGAAGCAACCTGGGACATTACTCCAGCGTGATTGATTGTCATGCAAGAAGCAATACCAAGTGAAGTTAGGAATGAACACTGGGCAAATAGATTCCTTTTAAAGTCTCAACCTGAATTTCTAGGATCTAAACTTCCAAAACTCAGCCTGGCCTTTCTCTTCTCTCTAGTATGTCTGCCTGTACTAGCTTAGTAGCCCTGAGCCACTACTGGTTGTAGCAAGAGGGGAAGCCGTAGTGTAGACAGAGCTCAAGGGTAAAGGCAATGATAGTGCCCAGAAAGATAATGGAGCAAATAATAAAGCAATCAATTTGCAAACATCTAGAAGATACTAAGGTGATAAGTAACAGTCAGGATGGATTTGTCAAGAACAAATCGTGTCAAACCAACCTGATAGCTTTCTTTGGCAGGGTAACAAGGCTTGTGGCTGGGGGGAAGCGGTAGGATGTGGTGTATCTTGACATTAGTAAAGCTTTTGATATTGTCTCGCATGATCTTCTCATAAACAAAGTAGGGGAAACTTAGACGGAGCTACTATAAGGTGGGTGCATAATTGGTTGGAAGATGATTCCCAGAGAGTAGTTATCAGTGGTTCACAGTCATGCTGGAAGGGCATAACGAGTGGGGTCCTGCAGGGATCAGTTCTGGGTCTGGTTCTGTTCAATATCTTCATCAATGATTTAGATAATGGCATAGAGAGTACCCTTATAAAGTTTGCGGATGATACCAAGCTGGGAGGGGTTGCAAGTGCCTTGGAGGATAGGATTATACTTCAAAATGATCTGGATAAACTGGAGAAATGGTCTGAAGTAAATAGGATGAAATTCAATAAGGACAAATGCAAAGTACTCCATTTAGGCAGGAACAATCAGTTGCACACATACAATATGGGAAATGGCTGCCTAGGAAGGAGTACTGCGGAAAGGGATCTGGGGTTATAGTGGATCACAAGCTAAATATGAGTCAACAGCGTAACACTGTTGCAAAAAAAGCGAACATCATTCTGGGATGTATTAGCACAGTGGTTCTCAAACTTTTGTACTGGTGACCCCTTTCACATACCAAGCCTCTGAGTGTGACACCCGTTATAAATGAAAAACACTTTTGAAAATATATTTAACACCATTATAAATGCTGGAGGCAAAGCAGGGTTTGGGGTGGAGGCTGACAGCTCGCGACCCCCCCATTTAATAACCTCGTGACCCCCTGAGGAGTCCCGACCCCCAGTTTGGGAACCCCTGTATTAGCAGGAGTGTTGTAAGCAAGCCATGAGAAGTAATTCTTCTGCTCTATGCTGCGCTGATTAGGCCTCAACTGGAGTATTGTGTCCAGTTCTGGGCGCCGCATTTCAGGAAAGATGTGGACAAATTGGAGAAAGTCCAGAGAAGAGCAACAAAAATGATTAAAGGTCTAGAAAACATGCCTTATGAGGGAAGATTGAAAAAACTGGGTTGTTTAGTCGGGAAAAGAGACGGTTGAGAGGGGACATAAGTGTTCAGGTACATAAAAGATTGTTACAAGGAGGAGGGAGAAAAATTGTTCTTCTTAACCTCTGGGAATAGGACAAGAAGCAATGGGCTTAAACTGCAGCAAGGGCAGTTTAGGTTGGACATTAGGAAAAGCTTCCTAACTGTCAGAGTGGTTAAGCATTGGAATAAGTTGCCTAGGGAGGTTGTGGAATCTCCATCATTGGGGATTTTTAAGAGCAGGTTAGAGAAACACCTGTCAGGAATGGTCTAGATAATACTAGTCCTGCCTTGAGTGCAGGGGACTGGACTAGATGACCTCTCCAGGTTCCTTCCAGTCCTATGATTCTATGATAGTTAAAACTCCAGAGCCCTGTCTCCACTATAACATCCACCCATGCTGCCATCAGCAATGCATTGGTGGTGGATTCACAGCTGTCAATCGTGTCAGTGTAGAAGGGACTCTGAATGAAAGCTGGCATGTCGCAGTCATACACTTCAGGCTGCTCCCAACCCTCGTCTCATGCTGGTTATATTGTAGTTGCAAAGGATAAGGACACTGTTCTCACTGCTAGAGAGCCCCGATCAACATTTAACTTGGTTGTGTTTTTAAAGGTAGGAACAAAAGCCTATTCTGCCTGGCTGACTCATCTCCGGCACTAAGTGGTGAACCCGCACTGTTTCTGTCGTGCCTGGTATCCCAAAGAACTCCAATCACTTTGCAGATTAGCAAATCCAACAGCATGAGGCAACGCTACCCAGGAGTTGAGCGCAAAGAATGGGACCTTGCCCAGTTGAAACTACAGGGGGAAATTCCATTGCTAGGAAGAATGCAATTCCCCCCACCCCCCTGGGGAATTGGTCAGGATGCAGAGGTTAAGAATTCCTTGCCAAGAGCACCATGGGATCTTTAAATTCTAATTTCCCAGCATGCAGCAGTTAATATCAGATCTGTATGAAGGGGAGTGAGTTGTCACCTCAGATGTCAAAGCTTCTGGGGAGTTTGATGCTTTTTATCAGTGCCCATCTTCAACCGAGTCTCATCTGTTCTGTTACAGACTGTTGGAAACTCGGGATCTGCTAATGGGATCCATCAACAGGATAAATCCCACAAGCAGGAGGTAGGTTATACAATACTGAGCTATTTGAATAAAAAAATGCCAAGGCAGGACTTCTTCCATGGGGTCTCCACTGTGCCAGAGGCACATCTCACACTGAGCTCATCCCCTGGAGCGTGGCTCTGACCATGACGTGAACAATGGGCTTTGCATAGCTCTCCTTCCCGAGTGCACTAGAACCAATTCCCTGGAGCAGCTGCACCCACAGCTGGGACTGGCCTGAAACTGAAAGTACAGATTTCAGCTGTTGCTGGAGGCTTTGAAAACCTCTAGGTCCTAGAGCTTCCAGTTTAAAAAAGAAAAGAAAAACCATGCAAAGAAATTAGTAATGTGCACACTGTGATGCCTTGGACTATTGACCTGGTGAAGCTAAGAAGTTCCATATACATCTTCCATATTGGACAGTTCTCCCAGATCAGCACTCGTATGTCTCTCTTCTCGTGTCAGCACAAGTTAGAACCTTCCTTAGTTCATCAGATCTCTGTGTATTTCACAGTATAGACCATTACGGGGGAGGCTTACTTTTATGCTCTCTCAGGTTCTCAGAGCCTAGGGAGAAGGTCCATGGTCTCAGAATTTTGTCTCCTCACCAGTAGCATGGGTCAGATTGATTAAGTACCTGGTACCTTGCAGCAGCATGGCCATTTCCCCATGGTTGCAGATTGTCCTTGTCTGCAGAAAAATGACCATCCTCCCCTCTTCTAATGCCTTCTTCTGAAGCACTAGGGATGGCCAGGACTGGAGATGGGACATTGGACAGGAAGGGCCAGAGCTCTGAGATGGCACCGAGCGTTTTCTCTCTCAGATGCTTGACTGGCTGGTTCTTGCTCACACGCTCAGGGTCTAGGCATTCGTGATGTGGTGGGGGTCTGAAAGGAATTTCCCCCCAGGTCAGATTGGCAGTGACCCTGGGAGGGAGGTCAGTTTCGCCATCCTCTGCCGTGTGTGGGTGCAGGTCACTTGCCAGGGTCATCTGGGTTTTTCTTGCTTAAGCATTTCCCTGTCTTTGCAGTGGCCTTGTGCCTTGGTGCACCTCGGTCCCCACTGTTCCACTGGTCAAGTCTCCTGTGGACTGTAATACTTTGGTCTAATTTCAATTGTTGGGTTTAGTGTGCAGGTGCTGGGTGGTGTTGGTGGCCTGTGATGGTGGACAGGAGGTTAGACTAGATGATCTGGGGGTCCCTTAATTGAAGTTTGCTGGCTTCCTTGGATAAATAGCCAGCGGGTCTGGTAACCTAGATCTACCTTGATCACATATTCATTGCCAAGGCCTCTGTTTTCCTAACACAGTCTCATTTCTTCCAGGAGAAGCACTGATAGAGAAGAAGAGCTGGAGAGGACCATTTCATGCCAGTATCTCCTTCTGCGCCCCAACAGGAAAAGGATGCACCTCCTAAAGACTAGCAACAGTATTTTGACTTTAAAAGCAGGACTGTTTATAATGTACTAACTGACCTAAGTAGGACAATCCCTTGGTTCGTATTTTCTAAGACGAGCAGCATTCCAGAAGGAGCGGTATGGCAACCTACCTGTGTAAAGATCCTTTTGTTTTGCTTTCTTATCCATATCGGTTTTGACTGTGGAATTTGTATCGGCCGAGTGAACAATCTCCATTCATCCCACCTGAACAATGTGGTCTGGTTGAGAGCTGATGGCTGAAACGTCATCGGTGATTCCTAGAACCCTAGAGGAAATGCAAAGGGGTTTGCTTGGGGCATTACAAAATTCCTAAGTGTGCTCCCAAAGGCTGCACTCTCCACGCCAGGTAATCCCTGACCCTCTCCCCCACCCACCCACCCACCTAGTATGAAGAACTTCAGAAATGAGTCAAACCTAGTAGGCTGGCTGTGCTCAAGCCAGTCAACATGGATTGTAGAAGAAGAGCTGCTGGGACAGTCCTCCCCCCTCCCCTGCATAGAAGACCTCTCAGCTGTAGCCCTCGGAGACTCCACTTAGTACTGTATGATAGCACAGGTGGTACCTCATCTGATTTCAGGTGATATAATTTATTTCAGCTGTTTGTGAGTCAGTGTTTACTCTGAGTTGATAAAGGGGAGGGAGCCTCTGGTGGGGGTGAGTACAGGTCTCCTTAGCCTCTCTCCTCTGAGAGATCTCTTAGCAGCACCGGCTGTGCTGGGGCCCAGAGCCAGGGCCCATGGGGGTGTTCTGACATGTGGTGGCACTGTAGGCCCGTACACAGCAAAGCTTTGGAGGCAGCTGGCTAGAGCCTTTGTATGCCTGTTTGTGAGGGTCTGAGTAGAAAACCCACACACGGGATGCAGTCGCATGGGACAGAGGCTGCTAGGCTCTGGTTCCCTCTCCACTGCTATCCACAGAATGGTACTCACTAGGTGGAAGAGTTGGGCCAGCCTAGCAGTAGGCTGCTTTGGGGTTGCCCCTACCGTTCTCAGTACAATATCCGAAGGGAGAGGGTAACATGTTGCTGGGAGCATTCGTGCAAGAGTGCCTTATACCAGGGACTGAGGAGGATAGTGAAACAAAGGCCGTCTAGAGCAGGAGAGCTCCAGCTGTAACCAGAGCAGATTTCTGTTCTTTCCTCTATTTGCTGGGCACCTCAGACTCCCCCTACTTGCTGAAAGTGGGAGTTCGGGGTGCAGGTTTGGGCCCCAAAACGACACTGAAGGGCACATTTGTAAAGCAGGAGCTCCATGCCATGTGCACAGAAATCCAGGCACAACTGAGCACCCAGATTTGCACAAAGAACTGTTGCCGTTGTGGGTGCAGAGAGCCAGTTGGCCACCTCTGTATCCATCTGCAATAACTATCCATGCAGGAGGAGGAACCCCATTGCCTGTGTGTATTTGCACATGGACCGGTCCCTATGCCAAGGGCTGTATTCTAGTCTCAGTCTTTGCACTAAACTCCCATTGGGCTGAGTGGGATGATACTTGGGTGGAGTGAGGGTGGAATATGGTCCTAAGTGTCTGAGACAAACCCCTGGCTCTGAAAAGGAGCATTCGCCTTTCGATACCCTGGGACCAGAGGGAGCAGCAGCAGATTCTTAGGCTCCATTCAACCCCCTGATGGGGATGGGGCAGCTTCCCAAGGGGGGATCAGTACCTGGAATGGGGGGCAGGGCTTGGATTGACATATTGCAGCACCAGGGAAACAATGGCACCACCAATGGCAATCCCCTGGTTCTGGGGGAGAAGCGGCTCGTCATGGAAACAAACGACTGTTCTTGATGCTGTTTGATACTTCCCCCTGCCCTCCTCCGAGGGAATTAATTGCAGAATCCCTTTTCGGAGGTACACAAATCAAATTGTTTCCTATTTCTCTGGAAATGCAGCATTTTTGCCATATTTACCAAACGACGTTAGGGTGTGAACAGCTCCGTCTCTTCTCTGGAGCCTCTCTGATATGCCTAGATCAAGTCCACCTCTCTGCTCCGCTCTCCACTGCACATCCTGGGCTAGAACTCCCGTGGACGTGGACAAGAGCTCCCAGCGTGGCAGGACACGGCATAGGTGTGAAGCAGAACCGTTGCACGTGAGCTGGGAATCTGGCCCTTCGTTTTCCTGTCTGATTTTTCTTCAGCCACTTTGGCTACTCTGAAATTCTCCAGCCGCACGGAGTCTGGGGCAGCCCGGGGCAAACTGGGAAAGAGCTTTGCCCCATCCCTCCAAGTCTCCTGCACTCGGGAAGCCACCAGACCTCTTGCCGGGCAGTGAAATAGAGCTAGGCCCTTTTCACCTGGTGGGGATGGTGGAGACCGGCTCTGTTTCAATGGTTGAGATAAGGAGGTGGGTTCAGGAAAGTGAGGCATGTTGGGAGAAGAAGCCTAAATTTGGCTAATGAGTTGAGGGTTAACGGGAGTTGGGGTGGGACAGGTCCTGCGGTGTGGAACCAGCCCCCTCTACCTGCATAGAAGAATAAAGCACTGATCATTGCCTCAGGCTTGGATTTTCAAAGAGCCTAAGGCCCCAAAAGCTCCTTGTCTATCAGTGGGACTTGTCACCTGACTCCCCTAGTCTCCTTTGAAAAGCCCAGCACAAGTGTGTCAAATGTAATAACCAAGCAAAACTCAGGATCAGCAGGAGGTGCCGTTTTGATCATTTTGGGGGCGGTATTTTCAGAAGTGTCCAGCATTGGCTGCCTGACTCTGCTCCTGCTGAAATTAATGGTCAAATGCCCACTGACCTCAATGGGAGCATGCGGGGGGCTTTGGAAAACGCCTTCCAGGGCTTAGGGAAGGCAGCACCCATGTGAGTGCACAGGAGTTCCTGGGACTTACCAAGTGGGAAGGGGGCGGGGGTCGATTTTGTAATCCATCTATATTTATTTTCTGTCTCGTTTGCAAGTGACAAGCCCCCGTTATTTAAAGAGGATTAAATGGCAACTTTCTGCGTCGCTTTGCAACCCTCCTGCTTCCCCGGGTTCAAACAGGAGCTGCCCGCTGGGAGGTGTGCTCTGTGGGCTGGGCTGAATGGGGCAAAGCTCTGAAGCGAGTGGCACTGCCCTGAAACCAGAGGAGAATTTGACCTATCAGGCCAGTGCACCTGAGTCCATTTGGTGACAGGGAGAAGGTAGAAGAGAGCTTGCATTGTAAGCTAGCTTTGACTGTCTTCTCAGGATCTAATGCTCTCTAGGATATAACTGAGGGGAGAGTAGCCTTCCAGGGATAGGCCTGGATGGCCTTACCACAGCAATGGGCCACACTGAATCACACGCTGTCAGGGCTCTGAGTTTGCCCTTTTTGGAAAGAGATCTCTGCACAGAGAGCACCAGCGTGGGGCGAACCCGTTCTGGGACACACCAGTGCAGCCCCAGGCTCTGCCCCTGTGCACCCCGCCATGTAGGCTCAGCGCCCCATTTCCAGCTCGCCCTGCGGGTGGGAGAGTTACAACCGAAACAGATGCCCCTGCTCAGGAGAGCCCAGCCAGGAGCTGCATGGCTCAGGAATGCAGATCACAGAGGGTGCATTTCCTCCCTGTGCGGCGGGGCCAGCACGAGGCCTGTGTTCCGCTGAAGTCCTGCAGAAGTGAAACAGGCACCAGAGACAGCGGTGAGGGATTTCCCTAGTGCACACAGCTCATGCTGGCCCTCTGCTCAGGTGCCAGCTGCACCCACAGATTTTAGGAGACCAAATTAGAACGAAACACAGAAAGTGACAAGTCAGAGGGTCCCCTTCCACCACTTTTATTTCTAAGCTTCTCGCGACTTTTGCCCAGTACAGTGGCACATAAAGTACTCTGCAACATTCTGTGTAACTGGCATCCTCGGTATTTTTTTTGTGTGGGGGAAGTGGAGGGGGGGTCATCAAAGGGAAGTTATGCAGCCAACTCCCATTGGCAGTCAGTAGAAGTTGGGTGCCTAGCTCCCATTTGAAAATCTCCTGTCAGCGTTAATCCCAGGGATCTTGTTCAGAGCTTCAAATCTGAAGTAAGATAGGGGGCTGCATTCTCCTCCGTGACCCCCAGGGTTGTCTCCATTGCATGTTCCATGCTGATGTCACACCCAGGGCTGTGTGCAGAATCTGCCTCAGGGATCAACAACTGCAGTGTGGGTGAGAGGGGAGAATTTTTCCTCTCCAGTCAAGGGGTCTTGCGTGAGAGCTAGTGACCTGGAAAAGCAGTGCTGAGCTGTCTGCTCCACCCATGCGCCCTTCCCATCCAAAGAGCAATTAAGGGCCTGCACAGTGGTTGAATCCGTAGGAATTATGAGTCCACGCTGTTGAAAATTGGACTTTCTATCCATTGTATTAGTTCAGTGGCTGGAAGAGTTTTTTGTTTTGTTTTCCCACTGAAGGCTGAGAAATCATCTGAAGAATAAAGTCTCCAGGCCAGCCGGAGAGGCTCTTGAAGCTCCAGATTAGCAACCTTTTCCGCTCATCCTAGCTAAAGAGAAATCTTACAAGCATTTGGATGGCAGCACTGGCTTTATCCTTTTCAGAGTTCAGAAAAGTGAAGTGGGGACACAGTCCCATGCTAACACCCTTACCCAGTCATGGGTCCGAAATTTATAGTCGAGACATAGCAGCTACTGCCCCATCCCCTCCTCTGGTCAGTTCCTTTGACTTTCAGTGGATATGCATGATGGTTTCATGAAACCAAACAAAAAGATGCAAATGAAACCTTCACAAGATTCCAATACCCCGTTGTTACAGCAGCTTTTAGCAGTTCACCACTATCTTGTAGGGAATTATTAATCCACTAAAATCTATAGGCCTCCATGTAAGTTACCAGAATAAAGGCGATAGTAGATGTATAAATGGATGATAACATTTTACCCGTACAGTATGTATTACAATTTTGTAGCTTAGTCATTTTTTTGGCTATCGAATTTTGTGAGTAAGATAAAAAAAAATGGTTTGACTGCTAATGTTTATTTTGTTATTTGATTCTTTTCCCTCCCCTTCCTATGTACAAACGCTGTACAAATCTGAGTCCATTGAGTGTAACTACAACCGATGTGTATTAATGTACCACAGACCGCAATAGTGGCTTGCTAAAGTGTGGTGAGCTCATACTAAAACAATAAAACTTGTGGCTGAAGTCAGGCACGCCCGCCTCTTCCATCCCAGAGCACGCAGGCCTGGGTGGTGCACGCCCGCTGGCGAACTGGCAGTCGGAATGTGAAAAGGATTCTTCCCGACTGAACAGACAAAGGTCGGGGAAGAGATCACGCACAGGGAACGGGGGGCTTTGCGATCACAGGGCACCTCGGACCGAATTCAGGCCTGGTGTGAGTGATCTGTGTATCCTTCTATGGGGCTGGATATTGCTAGACTTTATCGGATGGGCTGCGTGCCCCCGCTTCTGCTCCCATTGACATCAATAGCAAAGCTCCCCCTGGCTTCAATGGGAGCAGAAGTGAGTCCTGTGTCAGACCAACAGACATCAGCTTGGCCATTGCCAGAGCTGGATTGTCAAGAAGAGGCGTGATCTGGTGATCTCAGTCCAGTTTCCGGTGTTGCAGACCCCCAGCTGGCCCCAGCCTCTAGCTGGCAGTCTCAGCCGAGAAGCTGAAGGCTGAACTCTGCTCTGCCCCTTAGAGGTCGGGGTTCGAACGCAGTGTGTGCTTGTGCAGTTGCTGTCTTGCTCTGTGCACTGAGGCCTTTGGTTACCAGAGCTGTCAATTCAGCACCTTGCCCAAGCACTCAATTCACTTTCAGTTCTTCAGGGGTCTTAAAATATGCATGAGGAGGGCGGGGAATGAATTGCAACCACCACCGGTCAGCAATCTGGCATCGCTTCTTCTGAAAATCGGCCTTAATGGGTGTCGAGGAGCTGATTGACACCGGTTCTTTGTGGATGCTAATGGTCACGTTAATATATGTTTAATCAAATGCCTATCTGGGAGCGAAGTGTAGGAATAAATGCATTGCGATTGCTACGGAGCGGGAGCTGTAATTCAGTCGAGGATGCAAATGTAAAGTTACGTCGAAAGGAGCATGGGAAGGCACCTCAGATGGAAAAACTAGCACGAAAATGCTCAGCTCTTTGTTGGAAATCCCAGAAAAGACTGGGTGGATTTGGAGGAGCAGAGAGAGAGATCTCTTTTTCTGGGGGACAAAGTGTCAAGAGGATTGTTGCTGTTTTCCAGGCAATGGTACCCGATTTGCTCACTTTACCTCTGTGCTTAGCCCAGCTCCTCCACGGGCGTTAGGTGCCTACATACCTTTGAGGATCTGGGCCGGAGTGACTTTGCTGCGGGGTAGGGAGTAAAGTCCTAGTTAATAATCAGTTTAACGGGCTGCAAAGATTGTTATTTTAGGTCACTGAAGCTCTTCTTTATATTCCTGTAGCACCTAGCGGCCCCAAGCAAGCCTGGGATCCCATTGTGCTAGGAGCTGCACGCACACCTAGACGAGGCAGACAAAGTGAGAGAGGAAACAGGTACACAGAGACAATGTGACTCGGCAGAGCTGGGAATGGAACCCAGGTACCCTGAGTTTACATCTAACGTCCCGCCCACTGGGCCACAAGCCCAGCTCACATGGCCAGCTGTGAAAGGGGGACACGCGTGCTACAGAACAGGGGGAGGCGCCTAGCCGCATTGCTCCCCCGGGTCTGCAATTCTGAACGGGGCCCAGGCATCACCCACAGCACAGACTCCCCAAGGAGGGGCTGCAGGAGCCATTTCCCCAATGCAGGGCGGGGAAGGCCCACTGCATCTTTGGAAAAGGCCAAATCAACAGGCCTCGGCGCAATACGTCAGGGTGCTGCCTCCGCACGGGCAGCGACTCCCCTGAGGGGTCTGGTGCTAACAGCCCTCCCGAGCCTCTACAATTGGCTGCCCAGCCCCAGTGTTGCAGCACTCCCGCCCATCACCCCATTGTGGTCAGCGGACCAAAGCACACAGCTAACACTTTCGGGATTTGGCCCTAACGGGAAGGAAGAGGGGCTTGCACAGCTTGTGGGTTGGTGAGAGTGCTGCCAGCTTCTCAGGTGCGTGCGTTGGGTCGGTGGTGCGGTGCCACTCACTGGGCGGGCATCTTACTGCAAAAACCTCCAGCTTGTTCTCTTGAGTGACCACGGAAGGATGATTGGGCTGAGAGACCTGAGCACCAGTGGGATTTCCCCAGCCCACCGGCTTCAATTAACCCGTCTGCTGGAACCCCGGGCCGGGCTGGAACAGCTCCCAGAGGATCAGGCCGGCGTTTGCAGAAGGGCTGAGGACGCTGAGCACAGTGGAGCATTGCAATGGAGCTGCCGGAGACCGAGCTCTTCTAACATCTGGCCCGGTCTGGGCAAAGTCACCCACTGGATCTAGAAGCTGGGACTGGCTGACGGGAGGGATCACTCAAAATCGCCCTGTTCTGTTCATTCCCTCTGAAGCATCTGGCACTGGCCGCTGGTGGGAGACAGGCTCCTGGGCTAGATGGACCATTGATCTGACCCAGTCTGGCCGTTCTTCTGACTGATCTATAGTGTGTCTGAGCGTTCAGTGCAACTGGCTGCTCCGGGGCCCGAGGATGCCCAGAATGAGGAAGGTTTTCACTCCTGTGTTGGTGTCAGTGGTGGGTTCAGTTTATCTCGCCTCCAGGCTTGAGTGCAGGCTCTCCCACTGGCCTCAGCGCTGCCCTGGCTCTGCCGCCCATGGGATGTCAGGGAGAGGGTCAGGGAAATGGAGATTAGAGGATGGCGGCCGTGGTGCAGCCTCTCGGTGCGTTGTGCGTTGGAGCGCTGGTTCAGTAGGTGCTGCGGGCCGGGTGAAGTCAGCCAGGCCTCCCCAGCCACGCACAGCAGAAACAGAGGATCAGCCGTGGCAGGAGGGAAGACTGAGCCCTGCCTTCAGGAGCCTGTTGCTGCCAGCGCTGAAGTAAACCTGACCGAGGGGGATTTCAGCTCCAGTTCTTTCGCAGGCGCGGACACAGCAATCGACTGACAACATTTCCAGCACCCCCATTCCCGGAGCAGGGGAGCACCTCCCGAGCCTCACCATACCGAGGAATCATATCCCGCAGGGAAACTGAGGCATACGTGGACGTAGGGGGCAAAAAATAGCACCTGGGTTTTCCAAGTCCGAGGCTCGAGCCCTGAGCACTGGACCAGCCTTCCTCCCTCACACGGTACTTCGGTGCTGCCGGCCCGCTTCCCCCGTGACTCCTCTTGCCCCTGTTCTAATAATGGGCTGAAGGCCTCTGCCCTGGGCTCGGGGCTGTGTACGTCACGACGGCGCTCGCGGGAATGCCAAGGGAGGGGAAACGCCTGTGAGCTGTGACCGTCTCTTACGCTCGCTGTGAAGAACGAGCCGTCAGCAAAGAATGCCCAGGAGAAAATCTGTTGCGTTCAAACATCAGCAACCCCCTCCCCATCTAACCACAGGCTCGTCGGAGAACCAGGCATCCAGTTGTGACTCAACCTCCTCTGTGCAGCCTAATGCGCCGTTTAGAAACTTGGGCTTGCCAATGCTCTGAAGAGCCACTGGGGGGCGCTGTGGCCCTTCATAAAATAGAGCCCTTGTTTTCTAAGGGATAACAGGGCAGCCCCATATGTGTCTTTCAGAGAGTAAAATCTCAGCCCATGCCGCTATATCTTTAGAAGGAAGCTGATTACATCGTTACTAGCAGAACCTTTCCATACACTTGAGTCTGGAAAGACTTGCTCTTCCGTTATATTAATCTGGGAAGGATCCTGGAGCAGGAACCCTGGAGCAGGAAAACTTCTCTTCGTAAAACAGCTACAGCATGAGAAGCACGGGGGTAACTGCCACCTCGTTACCCTGTCTCTCTGCCTCTGCCCCACGTTGGAACAACGGCTGGGGGCACCATGGGTGCTCGCCCTTCAGGCCCCATTCAGCCCCTGGCTTCCCTGCTGGGGCTGCTGACATGGTGGGGTAGGGTTCACTGGAGAATACTGATGGAGGTTCTCCCTCGTGTGGACAGGTGTCCCCTATGTAGACGTGACATCACCAATTAATTTCCCTTTTCCCGCATCAAACAGCCATCAGTGCTCCCCAGAGCAGGGCAGGGCCATTATGTGACCTCCCCAATGTCTCTGGATAGCTAGGTGTGAACAGGTTTGGCCAGCTCTACAGCCAGACTTCAGGGGACAGGACTACAGGAGGGCAGAATAGCAAAGGACAAGAATCACTAACTCCCTGCTCCGGGGAAAGTGACTTAAAATCTCATCCTTTATTTCACTCCACGTTGCAGTTCATCAAGTGCATATTTACCACCCAGAGCCCATGCACGTGGCAGTCGTTACGCATAATACTGCAACACAAGTCCTTGTTTGCAGACATGCATTTCAGTGCTGTTCATCGAACAGGGACAATTAATAAAACACGAGGTTTAAAGATACCTAAATCACAGTGGGGGAGTTGATAAGCTCTTCAACCAAAACTATTTCATTTTATTTCCATTTTCCTTTGCATCAAGCCAAGGAGCTCGAGCCGTCCGCCTGTTCGGATGAGTACAGCATTAGGGACGCCCAGTTTAACGCTTCAGGGCCCAAGTGCACGTCAACAATGGCACATTCCCATGGCTAAAGAGGCTGCAGATACTGCAGTGTTGGGCAGCAATACAAAGTCCTACGGCAGACGACAGCATGGGGTGGCTCTTTGCTAGAGAACTCTGCTGCAGTGCCTATAACCATTCCCAAACCACCTCTGCTTGGGCACGAGAATGAGGCGCAAGGGCTAGGGTGCAGGGCCGGGCGGGACCAGGGCGCGTTTCATAATCAGTGCTCCGTAAAAGGGCCCCTTTTAAAATCATCCCAGCACAAAGGTACGTTCCTGCCCCTGGTTTAGCAGCCTTTGCAGGATCGGGCCCCTCTGCAGCCATGCCCCCCCGGATCAATCCTGTTGGGGAAGGTCAATGGGCCCTCGGACTCTTCGTGGGAATGAGTTTAGCACCCTGCTAGGATCAGGCTATGAAGCGGCTGGTTCAGGAGCCCAGTTTGTTGTTGAATAGCAGATACGGCTGCTATGGGGGTCGAGAGAGAGCCATATTCTGCTCCTTCGCAGGGGCACGGACTCCATAAGCCACTAGGGCTTTGCCAACACTCCTCTGCGTGGTACCATGAACAAGGAGAGCCTCTAGCCGATA